CTCAAAACTTCATACACCAAGGCCCCATTCACAAGTAGAGTTTACGGTAGGGCCCCATAACCCTTTTCTCGTCCATTCCTCTTCCCTTTGCTGGCACATCCCTGGCCCACATCCTGCTCAAGTCACCCCAATGCTACTCACCTGCACAATCAACACAAAGCAAAGCCCGATACAATCCCCCACTTGGGGTCAACACATAGTCCTTCCCACATGCCTAGGCCTTGACTTCCTTCCCATTCCTTTTACTATCATCAACCATTCCATCCTCTTCTCTTAGTCATGCAGTCCGGGTTCTGGTTGATTCAACTGACCTCTCTTCTCAAACAACAATCTCTTCCTTTAGTCCTCTTCGAACTAGTCTGCTTCTAATCTCACAGCGTTTTCCGTTTACCGTTCTCAAGTGTTCCCTTCCTTTCCTTCTTAGCGGCACAAGGGACCGGCAGTCCTTCCCTTGCCCTCTTTCTCCACCAAGTGAGGTAAACTTTTTTTCACCGTTTACCGTTCTTTCACAAGGTTAGTTGCATGCCAAGTCGGAAGAGAGAAAAAAATTTAGACTTGGATTACGGGAGAGGTAGAGGAACGCGGATCAAAGAGCGCAATAGAGGAATGGAATGAGAGAGTGGAAAGTGAGAGGGAGAGAGTGAAAGAGAGAGAGAGAGAGAGGGAGAGAGAGGGAGAGAAAAAGTCCCTCATCAAGCCTTATCCTTACGTGGTCTACCACCCCCGGTTCAAGATCTGAACTGGTACATCATCAAGTGAGAAAAAGACTGAATCACCATAAGTGTAACCGGCTTAGACACGCACATAGAGCTATGGAGGCAGCAAGATCTGAACCGGTTTATCACCAGGCGAGGGGAAGACTGAATCAGCACAAGTGTGACTATTCTACACATGCACATAAAGCCATGGGAGCAATAGGGTTGAACCGGCACATCACCAAGTGGATGAAAGACTGAACTTGCACAAGTGAGAGTGCAGCAAACACACATGTGAGCTATAAGGAACCAGCACAACACCACGAGGAGAAAAGACTGAACTTCACAGACCAGGCTACAACATACACATGCGGGAAATTATGGAAGCAACTAGGAAGAACCGACACATCACCAAGTGGAGAAAAGATTGAACTTCACAAGTTACACTACAGCATACTGATATTGGAAACTATGGAAGCAACTAGGAAGATTCAGCACATCACCAAGTGAGAGAAATACTGAACTTGCGCAAGTGAATTTACAACATATACACATATGAGCTATGGAGCAACTAGGAAAAAATTGGCACATCACCAAGTGAGAGAAAGATTGAACTCGCACCAATGAGACTACAACACACACACATATGAGCTATGGAGCAACTAGGAGAGCACCGCCACATCACCAAGTGAGAGAAAGATTGAACTTGGACAAATGGACCTATAACATACGCTCCCATGAGCTATGGAGCAACTAGGAAGGAACCGGTACATCACCAAGTGGGAGAAAGACTGAACTTGCACCAATGAGACTACAACACACACACACATGAGCTATGGAGCAACTAGGAAAGCACCTCCACATCACCAAGTGAGAGAAAGAATGAACTTGGACAAATAGACCTACAACATACACTCACATGAGCTATGGAGCAACTAGGAAGGAACCGGTACATCACCAGGTGGGAGAAAGATTGGACTTGCACCAATGAGACTACAACACACACACACATGAGCTATCAAGCAACTAGGAAAGCACCGCCACATCACCAAGAGAAAGATTGAACTTGCACCAATGAGACTACAACACATACACATATGAGCTGTGGAGCAACTAGGAAGGAGCACATATGAGGGGAGAGTTGCATGTGAGTGAGACTTGCTCAAACACCTGCATAGCACTCATGGAGCATCCAACATTGAATCGGATCATTACAAGGTGGAGAAATGAACAATGTGGGAGACTAGGATCACCAAAGTGCCTCCACGAGTGAAGATCAAAGTAACGATTTACCACCAAGTGGGGGGAGAGATAGATCTTGAGGTGAGAGTGAGTAAATCCCTTCCTCAAGCCAGAAATGTCATAGCCCAAAGTGGTGATTTGCCAGGGATTGAAGAAAATGACTATCATGGAGACACCATTAATGGAGGAGCTACTTTTTGTCTCTTCCTTGAGGAAGAAGTAGAAGATGGAGAGGAGGAAGGAGAGGGGGAGGAGGAAGATGAAGAGGAAAGAATAAAGAAAAAAAGGAGAGAAGAAGAAGAAGAAGAAGAAGAAGAGAGAAGCAGAAGAGGAAGAGGAGGAGGAGGAAGAAGAAGAAGAAGAAACTTCTCCTCCTTGTTCCCACTCACCTCTCCTTTCTTCTCTTGGTGTTGAAGACCAGTCTTGATGAAGCTCCCTCATCCTTTGCACAAGTCTCACTTAGCTACGACTCTCTTCTTTGTTAAACCTTCATCTCCTCCCTCTTCCAGCCTTCATCTGACTATGACAAGTTTCAACTATCAAGGCTATGGAGTCCTCCCCTCTAGGAGGGTTGAATGGGCTCCTCTAAGCCTCTCTTTTACTCCCACAACCTGGTGGCTATGGCGGACCACCTCCTTGGGCCATCACCACTCTCACTAGCGCCAGTGGCTGCCCTCACTCCTCCAAGCCTCGCAACTGGCAGCAGTTCCCCTCCCCTCACTCCAAGTAAGTAGAGTGCTCCTATGAGCTCACTTGGGCAGCATGGGCACTCCTTATCCAAATGTGAGTATCCTCAGCTTATGTAGGCTGAAACTGGTGTACCGGCCATGAGCCTCCCCATGTGCCTCCAAGTGAACCGAGGTACCCCCAAGGCCGAATTCCACCACTAGGTCTCTCCGGGGGCACCCGAGCCTCATTTTGGCCAAGTACATGCAGTCCGAGTGGTTGGTACCTACTCGGACTGCCTCGTGGCCTCCTCACGCCTCCTTTTCCTTTTCAAATGCTGCCCCCTTGAGTCCAAAAGCCCAAGGGGCAGCCTTACTTGAAAGAAAAAGGCCTTACGGGCCTTTTTCACACTTTTTGTTGTTCCTACCCCATTTTGGGTAGGCCGAGATATTTTTCCATGTTTTGGAGCAATCTCGGTCTTGGATCTGGCTAAGTTTCAAGGCCATTATTATTTCGAGCTACCCCCAAGTGGTCCTTGCTTCAATTTTGAGCTCCCATGCTCACTTTTTCAATTTTTGGTGCATCTGACCTTCTTTTTGGACCAAATGCACAGTTTCGGTCTTTTCCTTATTTTGTCTCTTTTCGTTTTGGGCTGCCAACTCATTCCGGAGTTGGCTGTTTGAGCTGGCCCCACAAAAAACGGCCATATGCTCCATGACTCATAAAAAAAAGCGGTCAACTCCTTTTTGCTTTTTCACTCATTTTTGCCTTTTTAAATTAAGATATTATTGAGATAATGCCCCAAGGTGCAATCAGATTCGACTTATTCACACTTCATCATGCTTGCAAACAGCGATACAGCAAACTGGCGACATGCGCCCTCACAGTACTCAAAGATATCGTAACCAGATATGAGTTCTCTTCCAACTGGCTATGGCGACTGTGCGCCCATACAACTCACTGTTCACACTCGAGATCACCCTGGATGTCCCACACGCAACACTCTGTAACCCAACGCTACACACACACACACACACTACTATAGCTATGGCAGCTATGGCGGCCGCTACACTACGCTTCACTGCCCTCTTCGTCTTCGGGCGCACTGCAGACCTCCTCGCACAAGCTATTGAGGCAGCGCTTCCGCATGGCATCCGCAGGAATGAGTGAATGGCTGGACGCAGCCTCTTGATTTATACTTTTGTGCTGCGTTGGTCTGCCGTGTATCTCTTGGCCCACGATGTGCACACAGTCCCAGACGGTACTTGCTAGACAGGACCGGACTGACTAGCTGGGACTGTTGACTCAGCAAGGTGGTCTAACACCACTTGACCACTTGCCTCTGTTGTATGCAGGCTAACTCCGAAAGGCCACTTCTAGAAGCTTCTGACTTGGCCTTTCGGTGTTGTAGCAGCTACGACTTTGCCCCTTCAGGTAAGTAGCAGCTACGACTTCGGAACTGTCTAGACTCCTACCCTACAAGTCTACAGTTCGATTCCCTTCTAAGCTGTGACCTACGACAATCTGCCTACCACTGGCGTTTCGACAGGTCGCAGGCTCAAATCTACGGGTTAACATCAATACTGTACACAGGTAAGATGGGGAACTAGGGATCGAGCCCTGGGATCTGCATTCGCTACTGCGAACTGGTGAATACCGTTTCACTCCCGCCGGCCTAAATTCGAGGTCCTCCGAGAAAATTTCAGTCCAAGGCAGGAGCTTTACCCTTTTGCTGTCTTTCGTAAGCCCGGACTATATCGGGAGCTGTCTCTAGAAGTTCAGATCTTGTAAACCAGCGGTCGTCTTCCGGTTCCTGATAACTAAAATGAACCTTGTATTGTTTCTGCGGACGACCCCTCCCTCCAGTTTTGAAGACATCTTCAGCCACTATACCATCTATGTCATATCTTCCATCCATATCAGGTGGGATCATCGATCTACGGGATGGAAACTGATCACTTGTTTGACAAGGTAGCAACTTCGATGCGTGGAAAACTGGATACGTGTGGAGGTGTGCTGGTAGTTCTATTGTATAGGATGGTCCATCTTCGCCGCCCTTGACTTCCAGAACAGGCCACGGTCCTCTATATGTGGGCAGTAACTTCTGCGAGATGTTCTCCTCCGGCGCAAACTCTTTAGAACTAACCCAAACTAAGTCGCCTACTTGAAACTGTGAAGGGCGACGATGTTTGTTCGCTTGCTCTATCATCCTATGCTGGGCTTTTCTGAGGTGCTTTACGACAGTAGCTAGTTCTTTCTCGTGCTGCACAACAAACTCCCTGGTTCCGGGCGACAATCTCTGAATCTGAACCCGGTTGAGTCCCTCAAACGGTCTGCGCGGTCTAAAGGACTTGTGCAGTTCGTTGGGAGTGTGGCATGTGGCTAGATGCACGCTGTTATTGTACGCACTAACTACTTTAGGCAACATCTCATCCCAGTTCATCTGATCTGGCCTAATATACATGCGCAAAACTTGTTGTAGGATCTTGTTCATTTGCTCTGTCTGACCGTTAGTCTCTGGATGGCGGYCGGACGACATCAACAACTTAGATCCGTATACTCCCATGAGTTCTTGCCAGNTCTCTGGATGGCGGCCGGACGACATCAACAACTTAGATCCGTATACTCCCATGAGTTCTTGCCAGTTCTGGCTAGTAAAGCGACTATCTCTATCGCTAACTATAGACAGYGGGATTCCRTTCTCACTAACCCAACAGTCAAAGAACCTCTRTATGACTAAATCAGTACGCGCCTCAGAAGGCAAAGGAACAAAAACTGCGTACTTGCTAAAGCGGTCAACTATGACCATGACTTGGCTCTTGCCATGCCTGCTCTTGACTTGAGTGTCCATGAAATCTATTGACACTAAGTCTCCCGGCTGATCCGGAATGGGCAAGGGTCTGAGAAGACCTAGTGGGGCGCGCGTAGAACTCTTATTACGCTGGCAGACTTTGCAACTGCGAACATACTCTACGCAGTMATTCTTCATCCCTGGCCAGGTATATGCGCGCATCAGATTGGCCAAAGTCTTTTGCCAACCGAAATGACCCTCTGTGTCGTGACATTCCCCCTGAATCAGACTACAGATCTCTTCGCTATTGGGAATGCACAACCGGTCAAAGACATTAGTCTTCTCGAAGAGTAACCCTCCAGTAGTGCGGTAGTTCGGCTCGGTCTCTGGGGCCTCCTTGACTCGAGTGAGGAGCTCACTATAGATAGGGTCCTGCGCGTAGGCTTCTCTAACCTTYTGCTGYAGATCCTTTCCTATATCGAGGTAATKTACTATTGCCCCAAAGTAATCTGCTCTCCTACTCAGAGCATCCGCGACTACGTTGTACTTCCCTTTGACAGGCTTGAGCTCGAAGTCGTACTGATCTATCTCTGCGGCCCACCTAGTAAGCTTAGGTGTCATCTTGGCCTGGGTCTTTAACCATCGTAACGTTTCATGGTCCGAATAAACTTTGAAGTGCCTCCTAAGCAAGTAGTGCTTCCAGTGGTCTAATGCTTGCCTGAGAGCGTAGAGTTCCCTCTCATAGGTAGATGTCGCAACCTTCTCTGAAGGCATCCTAGCGGACATGAACTCTACGGGTCTATAGCCATTGCCATCGTCTGGCTGTAACACTGCGCCTATGCCGTATTGGCTAGCATCCGTAGTAACGACAAAAGGCAAGGACGGATCGGCGACCTTAAGGACCGGATACTCTATCAACGCCTGCTTTATCTTCTTCATGGCAGGCGTGCAGTCCTTGTCCCACTTCCAGGTTGTCTCTTTTCTTAGCAATCTGCGAAGGGGCGCAGCGATGGTGGAGAACTTCCTCACGAACTTCTTGTAGTAATTCGCTAAGCCCAGGAACGAGCGCAACTCTGTCAGCGTACGTGGCGTGGGCCAATCTCTAATCGCTGCGATCTTGCTATCTTCTGGCTTAACGTCGTCTCCGTCTAAGACGTGGCCTATATACAAAACTTGGGTCTTCGCCCAATCGCACTTCTTTGCATTGATCTTGAAGTTAGCTTCTCTCAGCTTCTCCAAGACTTGCCTGAGATGACCCTGATGCTCTTCAGGGGTCCGGCTAAACACTAGGATGTCATCTAGATAAACTACAACAAATCTATCTAACCACGGCCTGAACAAATCGTTCATATAGCGCTGGAACGTAGTTGGAGCATTGGTTAGTCCGAACGGCATTACTATGAACTCATAATGCATGTACCTAGTCCGGAAAGTTGTCTTATAGCCCTGCACTCGATCTAAAAGATCGTCTATCCTAGGCAGTGGCTCAACCTTCTTCACTGTAATCGCATTCAGACCCCTATAGTCTATACACATTCTCAACTCTCCCTCTTTCTTAGGAACAAAGAGGACAGGCGCTCCGAAAGGAGACGAACTGGGCCTAATCCAACCCTTCTCGAGGAGCTCGTCCAATTGCTTGCGAAGCTCCTCTAACTCCCGCGGGGACATCCTATATACAGCACCCTTAGGAGTTCTACTGCCAGGCTCTATCTCAATACGGTGTTGGATGGGCCGCGGCACAGTGCCTGTCGGCGGCTCAGTCAAATCCTTGAACTCTTCCAGCAGCTTGGTAATCGCGGGGTCCATCGGCTTCTCCTCCGTAGGCTCAGTCACTGGCCTAACATAGGCAACAAAGACCTGTTCCTCCAATCCCTCCTTCTTCACCAGTCTGGTGAACTCGGGGGCACTAAGGCAGCAGTGCGCCAAGGAATTCTCTACTCCTGACACATGGAACAGGCGGGCAGTCTTGGCCTCGCCTGACGAACTAGGGAGCCTACACTCATGCTCCTTCAAATGGAGCGTGGCCCCGGCTGCCTCTCCCCAATCCATTCCCAGGACAATATCGAATGGGAGGCTGTCTTCTACGAGGAGAGTTAGGGAGTGGAGGACCTTCTTCACTTTCCCATTCTTCTCTAGGCGAAAATACGCCTGGACTCCCTCTACGTAGTCCTCTACAACCATAGTACGATTGTCTGCGAGGATACTAACTATGGGGTCTGCTAGCTTTTGGACTTTAAGTCCCAGCTTCAACTTCTGCAGCGCTTTCCTACTAATATAGCTGCAGGTGGCCCCTGAATCTACTAGGGCCCCTACTCTACTTCTAAAAACCTCTGTATCTAACAATATAAGCTGCCCTTTATTCTTCTTCTTCATCTTGGCCCAGTCGGGCATCCTCTCCTTCAATTCTTCGGCCACGCCTGTGAGGGAGGTGTCTAGCGAAACTCTAACACAAGCAGTTTCGGAACAGCTGTCTAGACACCGGCCTGCAACCTCTGCCATAGGCACATGTGGTGTGGGAGTCTCCTGCCGGCTAGCGCTATGTTCCCCACATGGCCTAATGGTAGGGGCAGTTGCTAACCCTACCGGCGGCTGCCTTTTGGCCCTTGGGCAGCCGTTCGGGTCTCTCTGTACTTAGGACAATATTTGATGATGTGGCCCGGGTCACCGTAGAAAATGCACTGGCCCCGGTCCAATCGTTGTTGCCATAAAGCCTGGTCCAGACCCAAAGATTCCCAAGGCCTACCCTGCGGTAGCCCTGGGTGCCATCCTCCTACCCTAGAGGGAGACCTATTCCTAGGACGGTTTTGCGGGGGACCTTGACCCCTGCCTCCCACTTGGCGGTTTCCTCCTCTGCTGCCAACCCCCTGATCGCCCTGAAATCGGCTCCCTGAGGCCCGACCCCCTTGGCCCTGGCCTCTTCCTCCTTGTGGCCTCCCTCCAGCCGCGACAGCAGCGTAAGATCTCCCCTGGCCCACACCGTTGTCCTCCTCCTCTAACCCCCACTCAATCTGATCGTAGGGGATCTCATCCACACTACCCTCATCTAAGGTCAGGGCAAGGCTATCCTTGGTCTTTACTTGCCCTGAGATAGTGCGGCCCTTCCATTGCTTACCCTTGTCCAAGTCCTTGTGCCAGAAAGTGGACACAGACGCAGACTTGGCTTCAAAAGCCACTACTTCGCGACTAAGGGAATCGTATGTAGTGGCAGGGTCTTCGCTCTTTGCGAAGAAATGCCCTYRRAGGGSTTCGGGTATAGCCCGATAAAAGAGGCCAACCAACTGGGTGTCTGTAACCCCGTGGTCAGGGACAACTACCAGTTCGTCCATTGTACTCTTAAGTGCCCTGGCGCTCTTCCACTTACGAGCGTGGATCGTCTGCAGCCTTTCTGAGGCTTTAACGCTACGGGCGACATCAGCGAACCTCTCGCGCAACAACTTCAAGAACTCAGTGAGGGAAGTGAACGAGGAGTACGCAACGGGATCATCGCTGCAATTGGCAGCGCGAACTAGGGACCTTGCAAAGTTGGCGGCTTCATCTCTGAGCGCGTGAATCGCAATCAGAACCTGCTGATCCGGGGAGACCTGTTGCAGATGCACATAGGTCTTGACATTGGCCTCCCAATTGTCGAAGTTCTCTTCCCTTTTTCCACTGTAGGAATCAGGGAATTTAACTTTGACCGGTTTCCGACGAGGAGGACGTGCTTCCTCCTCCTTGGGAGCTGCCGCTTTGACGCCCTCAATGGCGTTGGCACAGAACCGCTCAGTCTTGTCGAGGCGGTGGCCCACCTCGGTCCCTATAGCGCCTACCAGCTCACGCGCAAAGTCCCGAAACCCCAACTTTATGGAACGCACAGCTATGTGTTGACTCCTACTAAAATCATATTGCTCCGCCTGAATTTGTATCAGGCGTGCAACGTTTCGGGCTATGACTCGCATTTGAGCTGGGAGTTCGGTCTGGGCGGCCAGTTGCTCTTCTATATTATTTACTTCCTCTAATTCTTCTGCCGCCTCCACTGCCGCCTCCACTGCCGCGTCCACTCTCCTCTTCTTCTCCCTCGTCACTGCCAACTTCCATTCCATCCTCTTTTCGTCTTCCAATGCCTGCTGCTTCACAACATCCTTTTCTGCTTCCCAGACCCTCATAGCGGCTTCTTGGTCATCCTTGGAGATGTACATCGCCACCTCTTCTTCTTCGCCCAGGGACAAGTTGGCTACCCACTTGGAGATTCGCTTCTCCATCTCTTCATCCCTACTACCACTGTACTGCACCCTCTTCCTCTGCAATGGTGTTTCATCTTCCTCCTCCTCTTCCACTTCTTTCAACTTCTCTTCTTC